AAAAAAATTGAATAATAATGTTAATGTAAAAAATGATTCTAGTGTTGAAGAACAAAATCTCTCAAATGAACGGGTACCCTATTGATATCAATATAATTATTATTTTTACGAATAGCACGGGCCGCTAAACACATAAGAGTCGTGTATTTAATAGGATTAAGTGTCATGAATCTTATTTTATCATCGAGTAATGATTCATACGTGTGACCGTCATTGTTGACGGTATCGAGGTGCGCACCACCGCATAATAATATCGTCGCTAAATCGGTTCGCCATGGATAAGATATTGCTGTTAAATGCAACGCTGTGTTGCCGTCATTGTCCTTGCAAGTTGGATCAGCACCGGCTTTTAATAACGCCATCGTTAATTGCGGGGAGGTCAGTTTACATGCTGGATAACGGCCGGCTATCGTTTCGTCTACGTTGTGGATCATTTGGAGAACGTCTTTTCCCTGGAAAAATTTTTAAAATTTAATAAATGACCTTGTATCTTGTGAACTATTAACATTTTTAAAGATATAAGCTCATATTGATGTTACACTCATCGAGACGTTTCATTTGAGTACCCACATCAATTTTTCATATATTTTATATATTTATATATATATTATATATATGTATATATGAAAAATATATCAAAAATGCATGTGGGTACTCAAATGAAAGGTCTCGATGAGTGTAACGTCGGGATGAGCTTATATCTTTAAAAATGTCAATAGTTAAGAAAGTACAGTACAATTTAACAAGTCATTATATAATTAAAAAAACTTTATTTATTATAGTTCGCAAGTCCCGGGAATCACATAGTGACTTCAAGTTTGTTAGTATTTTTATATAATTTATAATTGATAAAAAATAATAAAAATATCCATACTTACTCCTTTATCTCTCGCATTGACCCGAACCAACTCATAAATAGCTTTATGAAGCGCAATATAATCATCCGAATTGACATCCGGCATTTCTCGAGTCAACAAACAGGCAAGATGAAGCGTGATCACCAGAATTCTATTTAAATTGGTGAGATCCCGATCACAGGACGGTAATTTATCTAACATTTGTTTACCTAATTTAACTTCTAGAACCTGTAAAAAAAAATAAACATTTAGGCTGCATCCGAAAATGCTCTATCTCTAGATACATAACTAAGAAATGATCTTGTATCTTGTGAACTATTGACATTTTTAAAGATATAAGCTCATCCTAATGTTACTCTCATCAAGACCTTTCATTTGAGTACTTACATCAATTTTTTATATATTTCATATATTTATATATATTATATATATATGTATATATGAAATATATATGAAAAATGCATGTGGGTACTTAAATGAAAGCTTGTGACGAGTGTAACATCAGGATGACATTATATTTTTAAAAATATCAATAATTAAGAAATGACTTAATATTTTATGAACTATTGACATTTTTAAAGATATAAGCTCACCTTGACATTACACTCATCAAGACCTTTTATTTGAATACCCACATCAATTTTTCATAAATTTTATATATTTAAATAGTTCACAAATACCATATATATAAAATATATAAAAAAATGTCATGTGGGTACTCAAATGAAAGCTCTTGACGAGTATAACATCGAAATGAGTTTATCTCTAGGGGTGTGCGAATATCGTTCGAATCGAATCGAATCGAATATTGATATTCGATTCGAATAATTCGAATTTTCCAATTAATCAACATTCGACGAATAATTCGAAAGAATTCGAATAATTCGAAACTTTTCGAATTATTCGTAATTTTTCGAATTGTTCGTCGAATTTCGAATAATTCGAAAATTCAAATTATTCGATTCGGAACGAATAATTTGTAAGTTCGAATTATTTGCACACCCCTAATTTTAAACCCTAATCTAGTTAACTCTTGATAAGTCTTGATAAGACTTGATAGCATAGCCACGCGGACATGTAAAAATGAAAACTCTAAATTTCTTCCAAGTTACTAATCTAATCAACTGTTTGGCCTATAATCCTTGTAGAGAATGTGAAAACGATTCGATTGATGCATAATTATGATTAAAAATGAACTTATCGAAAATTTTAAACCCTAGTCTAGTTAACTCTTGATAACTCTTGATAACAATAGCCACGCGGAAATGTAAAAATAAAGACTAAATTTTTTCCAAGTTACTAATCTAAACAACTGTTTGGCCTATAATCCTTGTAGAGAATGTGAAAACGATTCAATTGATGCATAATAATGTTTAAAAATGAACTTATCGAAAATTTAAACCTTACTCTAGTTAACTTTTGATAAATTTTAATAACAATACCCACGCGGACATATAAAAGGGAAAATTCTAAATTTTTTCCAAGTTAAAAAGCTAATCATTTGTTTGGCTTAGGATACTTGTAGAGGATGTAAAATCGATTCAATTGGTATACAACAATGATTAGCAATGAACCGATCGAAAATTTTAAACATTACTCTAGTTAACTTTTGATAACTTTCAATAACAATACCCACGCGGACATGTAAAAATAAAAACTCTAAATTTCTTCCAAGTTACTAATCTAATCAACAGTTTGGCCTATAATCCTTGTAGAGAATGTGAAAACGAGGCGATTGATGGATAATAATGATTAAAAATGAACTTAACGAAAATTTTAAACCTTACTCTAGTAAACTTTTGATAACTTTTAATAACAATACCAACGCAGACATGTAAAAATGAAAATTCTAAACTTTTTCCAAGTTAGTAAGCTAATCACTTGTTTGGCTTAGGATGCTTGTAGAGAATCTAAAATCGATTCGATCGGTATATAACAATGATTAGAAATGAACCGATAGAAAATTTTAAACCTTACTCTAGTTAACCTTTGATAACTTTT